GAGGAGTTCAGGCGGCTGATCCGATACGCGGGCTTCCTCGCTGCGTGGGCCTTCATACTTGTGGGCTCTCTCCGCTGCCTCCTGGAGTTCCTGGTAGAGGATGCCTTTGAGGGCCTGACGACTCTTCTCCAATCGACTCGCGGGGATCGGGCTGGATGGGCCGAGGCAGCCTCCTGCACAGCTTGATCCGGGTACGGATGGGTCGAGGTGAACACTACCACCGTCCCTTTCTGAGGCCATCCTGGGCGACAGGATGGCGTATAGCCCCCTGGCCTCGGCTAGGATGGCGCCCCCCACCCCAGGATGCACCTGGCCAGCTACTGTGGGGGCGTATACAGTCGGACCGAGTTATAAGATCAAGGTCGGTTCGGGTTGGGTACCCTAATGTTCTTCATGCTTGTTTGCTGTTTTTGTGCACCCTGGAGAGGGTACCCTTTGCGTGTTCGGTGCGTGCGTGCGTGCGTGCGGGCGTGAGTGTGTGTGTGTGCGTGTGTGTGCGTGCGTGCGTGCGTGCGTGCGTGCGTGTGTGTGTGTGTGGTATGTGTGTGTGTGTTGTGTGTGTCTGTGTGCGTGTGGTGTGTGCGTGCGTGTGTGCGTGTGTGTGTGTGTGGTGTGTGTGTGTGTGTGTGTGTCTGTGTATGTGTGTGTATGTGTGTGTTTGTGTGTGTGTGGGTGATTTGGCTGGCGGAGGGTCTCGCGCCTCTTGAGGGATGCTCTCCTGTCCCAGGCTCGACTGCAGTTGCCCTCTGCGCAGGCGGGTGTGGCAGCCACGGCACCAGCCGAGGGGCAGCAAGATGTCGTCAGGCCCTCGCCCAGAGGAGTCGTACTATCCCGAGGGCCCGCGCCCCGCCCGCTGCCCGGCCCCCCTCGGGACAGGGCCTGCACCCACCTCGCTCGTCTTCTGCCTCGGAGGGGCCCCGATCTGTGGTCCTCTTCTTCTTTATGCTTCTTCTGTTTCTTCTTGGTATGCTTCTTCTTAGTATGCCCAGCCCTCCTGTGATGCTGGGTACCTCGTCTTGAATGGAGCAGTGTGGTCTCCACCTCCTCCTCCTGCTCCTCCTCCTCCTCCTCCTCCTCCTCTCCTTCTCTCCTCCTTATCTCCTGTCTCCTGTGTTCCCTTCTCCTCTTCTCTCGTGCCGTCTGCGATCTGCGCAACCGTCGCCACTTTCGTGGGCTCCTGGGAGGCCCGGCGGAGGTACGTCCCACGCGGATCACCTCGGTGCCTCGCCGCCCCCCTGGGGGGCTTGCGATCTGCGCAGCCGTCGCCACTTTCGTGGGCTGCTGGGAGGCCCAGCGGAGGTACGTCCCACGCGGATCACCTCGGTGCCTCGCCGCCCCCTGGGGGGCTTGCGATCTGCGCAACCGTCGCCACTTTTCGTGGGCTCCTGGGAGGCCCGGCGGAGGTACGTCCCACGCGGATCACCTCGGTGCCTCGCCGCCCCCCTGGGGGGCTTGCGATCTGCGCAGCCGTCGCCACTTTCGTGGGCTCCTGGGAGGCCCGGCGGAGGTACGTCCCACGCGGATCACCTCGGTGCCTCGCCGCCCCCCTGGGGGGCTTGCGATCTGCGCAGCCGTCGCCACTTTCGTGGGCTGCTGGGAGGCCCGGCGGAGGTACGTCCCACGCGGATCACCTCGGTGCCTCGCCGCCCCCCTGGGGGGCTTGCGATCTGCGCAGCCGTCGCCACTTTTCGTGGGCTCCTGGGAGGCCCGGCGGAGGTACGCCCCACGCGGTGACTGGGTGCTCCTGCTATCCTCGAGGCTGCGACCTTGTGCTTCTACTTTTGGGTTCTTTTCTTTGGGTTCGCTGCCGATCCCTTCTGCCTCCTCTTTTGCGTGAGTCTCCGCCCCCGTTATGCACCTCATGAATTTGCCTCTTTCAGCGCAGCGCGTTGCTGAGTCAAACCGATGTTCTGGTTAAGCCCTCGCCGCCCCCCCCCCGCTTTTCTGTTTCTTTCAACGCCCTTGTGCTCCCAGTTTGTATGTTAGCTGTTCCTCTTTTTGATGCTCTCTTCTGATTTCACTCCTGAGTGCTCTTCTTGCGCACTGCGGGTCCTTCAGAATGCCAGTCAGCACTGAGTGGCCCTGAATGTAAACGCCAGGGCAATTATGTTGTCCTTTTCTTCTTCTTTTCCTGATTATTCGTCTTTTTATTATGCTTATTATGTTTAGTATTAGTTGTTGTTCATCTTCTGTTTCTTCGTCCTCCTCCTTTGTTGCCGTTGCTCGGACCTTAGATGAAACCTTCCTCCTCCTCCGCTCCGACTCCCACTCTTCCTCCGACTCCCCCTCCCACTCCCCCCCTCCTCCTTCTCCTCCTCCTTCTCCTCCTCCTTCTCCTCCTCCTCCTCCTCCTCCTCGGTACTTCGGGAATCCAAGCTTAACATCCGCAGAGCCAACCTCAAGGCTAAGGCCAAGAAGATCAGGAGCAGGAGAAACCAGCTCGCGGCGAACACCAAGGTCTCGGGGCCGCTCCCAGGGGTCCTCTACGGATCCGAGGTCCACGGCATTTCGGACGGGGAGTTCCACAGCATCAGGAAACAGGCGGTTTTGGTCATGGGTCCTAGATCCTAGCTGTCAAGGCAGGTTCCTTACCAGTCTGCCCGTCATCGAGAATTAGCCGACGTGGCTTGCGGCAGTGGCGCCCACAGTCAGATATGCGAAGGACCTGTGGATTGTCCATGAAGGCGCGTACCGCTGGTTTTTCTCGTCTGCTGAGCTCTGACAGGCTTGGACAGATGCACATGGGAGGCCTGCATTGTCGAACTAGAGACATGTTAAGGGGCCCTTCTTTGCCATGCTGCCCTCCCTCAAACGAATCAAGTGGAAGAGTGTTGATTGGGTCACGCTCGAAAGCGACATCGGGGGAAAGCTTATGCTCACGGAAGTGGGCCCTGTATGTTTCAATATTTTGTTGAGACAAGCGGTGCTGCATGATTTTGAGAGGCGGGCTGCTGCTAGCCACGCCCATTACACTGGAAGGTTTTGTGTTTGAGGCCATCAAGCAGGCGCTTAGCTCGTCCAAGGTGGCACAGACCCAACGCCCTGGTGCACAGGCTGTGGGCTTGTTTTGCCTGTACCGAGGAGAGCAGCGATATTAAGGAGGTCAGGGACTTGTATCACAGCATGGGCCCAGATAGCCCGCAGGACCTCCTACTCACCCGTGCTGTCTTCTTCCATCCAGGAGACAACAGGCCACGGTCGGACACTGCTCGGAGTGTGGTTTGGCAATGGGAGGAGGTGGTGGAGAGCTCACAGGAGGAAGTGGTGGAAGGTGAGCTGTTCCTCGGCGGCAGTTGCACCAGATACGTGGTCCCAGAGTGAAGCAGAACAAGCTGGGGATGTCTTATTTTCTTTGGCAAATAACTCTTCGGGCGGTGTTTTGGCACGGTCTGCGGGGCCTTCTCGCAGTCGCCCCAGGTTGAATAGTTTGCGACCTACGGCTGTGCCGGCCAGGTCCTAGAGGGAGATGCCGACATACATATTGTTTGTTTCATATTCGTGTACATGCTAGGGGGCCCCTGGGTGAGCAGATGCACTGCCAGAGGCCTTACGTGGGCTTACTGCAGTCTACTCAATGGTCTGAGCATATGATGAACTCGGTCTGTGAGGTTCATGGGCACCTTTCTCTGGCAGAGGAGGAAGTGTCTCGGACAACGACGTATGTTCTTGCGCAGGGGTGACTTCCAGGCGGACAAGGCGGCCAAAGCGGGGACGAGCCTACACCCCCAGGCTGAACCCTCCCAGCAGGACGCCCTGGCAACGACTTCGCTGGTGGACGAGACGGTGTGCAGACTAGCGGCTGCTCTGTTGCCTCAATGGCCGAAGTTTAACCCGACGGATGTCGAGCGGGCGCCTCCGCAAGTCGCGGTGCGGAGGTGGCCTGCGAGCGCAATGCGCCATGTTCGGGAGTTTCGGTGTGGACGTTGGCGTTGCCAGCGCTGTTTCAAGACCTCTAAGTTTCAGATGCGCCCGCCCCCTGGGTCAAGTATTGGCGAAGCGTCCTGACTCGCCTATAGGGCTACCGAAGAATGTTCTAAGAACCTTCTGTGGTCTCCACGAAATGTTCTTAGAACATATTTGGCTGGGGCTGTCTTGTTCTAACGCTTGTGGATTATGTTCTAAGAACATTGTTTTGTTTTTGAACAGCTTGGGGTTCTAACAACATTTCGTGGTAGGCCTATAGGAATGCCAGGGCGCTCGGTCTCTGCTTAATTGGGGGTTGTCCCGGTGAGATGGCGGGGTGCGAGTTCGGAGAAAAGGAGAGTTCGGTCATTTCGTCGCGGGTCTGCCGTGCATCAACGGAGGGACCTTGCACAGCAGCACTCATTGCGCATGGTTCTGCAGTTTGGGATATGTGACGAAGTCCAATCTGTCTGACAGGTGTGCCCACGAGAATACGCCACTGAAAAACAAACCTGTGGAGGAGAGTCTCGACGGGCCTTCACCCGAGGTGCAGCTCGACGATCCAGGTGGACTCAGCAGGAGTTCGAGGTTTCGAGCAAGATCTGTGCATTTTTTGATCCCGATGAGTTGTCATTTCACTGCAGTCCAGTCTTGCTGATGGCAGACTCCTCCTCCTCCTCCTCCTCCTCCTCCCCCTCCTCCTCCTCCTCCTCCTTCCCCTCCTCCTCCTCCTCCTCCTCCTCCTCCCCCTCCTCCTCCTCCTCCTCCCCCTCCTTCCCCTCCTCCTCCTCCTCCTCCTCCTCCTCCTCCTCCCCTCGGGTGTTGTCAGGGGTGGCCCTGGCCCAACGCGGCCCGCGCTTCTCCGGGAAGGCTTTTGGGCGGCTTCCAGGGCAGCCCTCCGAGCCTCCCACCGGGGCCAGAGCAGACCGGGTCGGAGGATCGCGACGCCTCGCCGAAGCATCGGCGATGGATCGACGAGAAGCCTCAAGGAGTCTCAGCAGCTGTACAACAAGGACGCCAGGGGTTCGGGGGACGCCGCGCGTTTGACAACTCGTGTCGCCCCCAGCAGTCGGCTTGGGTCGGCGGACTACGAGTTCATGGAGGACAGCTTCTCGGTCCTGGAGCATTCCGTGCTCAATCCCGCGAACACCGTGTTCAGTTTTCTGACGATCATGTGCGTCGCCAACATGTTTATCATCGGCAGGACCAGGACCACCAGGGAGAACACCATGGTGGTGATTATACTAACGGTGGTCATGATCATAGTGCGCATGATGTTGATGTTGAGGGTTGGGCTTGTTGGCCTTGATGCTTACCATTACGCATGGCTTCGGTGATGACGACTGGGCAGATTATGATGATTGTGGTTGTTGTGATGATGTTGGTGGCGATGAAGGTGATGCTGATGGTGGTGATGTGAGTGATGCTAAGGAGGACGAGGAGAAGGAGAAGGATGAGTATGATATTGATGGATATGAGCATGCAGATAAAACATGATGAGGGATATTTTGATGAATATGAGATGTGTGTTCAGAATGCGGTTACATCGAATACACCTTTGGCGAACCACCGCCGTCCCCTGCCTTTGGAAGTGCCTGTGAGGTTAGATGGCGAGCGGAGGTGCGTGATGCTGGTGGATTGCGCGTTTGCCCAGCGCTTGGGGGAACCACCGGGGGAACACAGGGGAAGGGCCCTCTGGTGTCATCTTGGGGCCTCGTGGGTTTTGTTGGCGCCATTTGGGTTTTCTTGGGGCCTCCAGGGGCTCTCTTGGGCCACTTTTGGGCTCTCTCGGGCCGTCTCAGGACGCTTGCGGGCCGTCCGACGCCTGAGGGAAACTGTTTTGGCGGCTTGTCTGGACAGTCTTCGGGACCTCTTGAAGCTCTTTAGGGACGTCTTGGGATTCTCTTGAGAGTCTCTCTGGGCCGTGCTGGGATTGTCTTGGGGCCGTCTTTGTGGTGAGCCCTCTTGGACAGTCTGGAGGCCACCTTGGGCCGTGTTGCGACTATCTTGGGTCGTCTTGGAGGCATCTTATGGCCGTGCTTCGATCTCTTGGGGCCATCTTGGCTGTCCGTAGGGCGTCTTGGAACCGTCTCAGGTCATCTGAGACGCAGAAAGCCAACGAGATGCTTCTTTGAAGCGGTACTAGTGGATTGGGCCAGAGGCCTTTGGGACCCTATTGCAAATACCAAGCATCTTTCACACGTGCGGCACGCCAAGCACCCTTCTGGCAGGCTAACGGGGGCTCCCAAGGGAGCGGCGGATCGAAGACGCCTACTGCGAATCACCGCCGCCCCCTGCCTTTGTGGAAGCGCCTGTGTGGCCGAACGTTGAGGCCAGACCTGCCAAGCCATCGGACCATGTGTTCCCCGAATCGGTTTGGAAAGCCTTCGGGGAACACGTGGGCATCTTGAAGGTCATCTTGGCCGTCTTGGAGGCCTCTTGGGCGATCTTTCGGCGATCTTTGGGGGCTCTTGGGCCGTCTCGGGCCGTCGGAAGGCCGAAAGAAGAAATGTCAAATCCGTCAAAAACCTTAGGAACATCCATGTTTTGGCATCTTTTGGCCTTCCTGGAGGCCCTCTTGGGGGCCTCTTGGGCCCTTTTGGGCCAGCTTCGAGCCAACTTCGGCAATCTTGGTGGGTTCCTGGCACGTCTGACGCCGTCGGGAGCCGTCTTGGGGGCCTTTCTGGGCCAACGGGGGACCCTCTTGGGGCGCTTCGGGGCCGTCTTGGAGGCCATCTTGGGCGTCTTGGAGGCCATCTTGGGCGTGTTGGAGGCCTCTTGGCCCGTCTTGGGGCCCTCTTGGGGCCATCTTGGAGGCCACTTGGGCCGTCATGGGGCCCTCTTGGGGGCCGCTTGGGCGATCTTGGGGGCCTCTTGGGCCGTCTTGAGCCGTCGGAATGCCGAGAAGAAGCAAATGCCAACATCCTTCAAAAACCTGGGGAAAATCAATGATTTTGGCCTCTTCGGGACCTCCTGCAGAACCTCTCGACGGGCTCTTGGGCTGTCCTTGAGGCCTCTTAGGGGCCTCTTGGGCCGCCTTGGGCCATCTTGAGGCTATGTTAGGCCGTCTTGGGTCATCATGGGCCGTCTTGGAGGCATCTTAAAGCCATCTTAGCCGTCTTGGAGGCCATCCTGGCCGTCTTGGAGGCATCTTGGAGGCCATCTTGGAGCCGTCTTGGGCAGGAAATTGAGGAATTGAGCGCCTTCCGGGTGGCCGGCGGGACGGGCCGAAGCCCCAGGGGGAGTTCTTTTGGAAAAAGAACCAAAACCAAAACCGAAAGGGTCTAGCACGCCAGGCACCCCTGCGATGAATCGACAGGGGGTGGCGGACCTCGTGGCCTCCGGCCCATCCCGCCGCCGTGCCGGGTTCGCGGACAGGAGGCCTGCTGGAAGTTTGTGGGGGGCCTCTTGCTCCTCCTGCAGGTCTCTTAGGGACTTCGGGGGACCTCGAAGGGGCCCCCTTGGGCCTCTCGGGGGCCCGCTGGCGGTCTCGGGGGCCATCGTGGAGGCAAGGGCTTGGAATTCTAGTTGGTATTCCCCTTTGGGGGCTCCTCTTGGGTCCCTCTTGGGGCTCTCGGGGGCCGTCTTGGAGCGATCATGGGGGCCTCCTGGGCCGTCTTGGACGCTCTGAAATCGAGCATCATTCCACAACGTCATGCTCTCTAGTGGTTTTGGCACTTGGGCTGCCCCCGGGGGACGCCTGAGACCTTAGGCCGTGCGGGATGCGTGGCATCCGAATCACGTTCCCGTGGCCTTTGCAAATGTCACGCGAGTGGTCCCGAGAGCGCCCGAGATTGCCTGGAACTCGGGGGTCCGGCACACCTCGAAATGACTTACAATTCCCAGTGCAGAGGACTTGGGGACTCTCCACTCAGTGCCTCGCGGCACGGGGGCGGACAGTGGTCCTGATGAGGGAGAAAGAGAGGAGGCTTTGTCTCTTCCTCCTCCTCCTCCTCCTCCTCCTCCTGCTCCTACTCCTCCTCCTCCGCATCCCCCCTCCCCTTCCTCCTCCTCCTCCTCCTCCTCCTCCTCCTCCAGGTTCTCTTCCTCCTCCTCCTCCTCCTCCTCTTCCTCCTCCTCCTCCTCCTCCTCCTCCTCCTCCTCCTCCTCCTCCCCCTCCTCCTCAGCACGCCCCGACAAGGACTATGGTCTATGGGACGTTGTATGCGCGCTGCGGTGCAACAGCAATCGGGGTGGAAGCACAAAACTCCTCCTCCCTCCTCCTTCTCCCCCTCCTGCCCCTCGTCGTGGGCCCCTGCCCCTCCGCCGCCAGCCGGGCCCAGGACCATCAAGGACCGGCTCGGGAATGCGAACTTGAAGTTCATGGGCGCGCGGGTTCTTCTCCTCGTCATCGCGATCCAGGAGCAGAGGAAGAACGCATTGTGTTCACACACTGCCGAGGCTGATTCGTAGGTCCACCCTGCCAAATATCACGTGTGCCCTTGTGACCTGCGTTTCGCGGCAATGTGGCCCTCGGAAGGATCTTGCGTCCTCTCGGGCCGAACGAAAGGGGGGATAGGGAAAGAGGGGGGGGTGCGAAGTCTGCTGCATGCAGCTGGTTTCGGCCCCGCCGCCGGGCCCATTCCTCGATACATGGGCGCCACCCTGCGCCGGGAGGCGCTGGGAAAGTCAGCTACGTGAGCTGACTCCCTGCCCTGCCCTTTGCTACTCCCCCTTTCGTTCCCCCCGATGCTCCCGCGTGACCTCTCCAAGCAGCCTCGGTCGTAAGCGTTCTGAGCTCCGCGTGGGCCCCCCTCCCTGGCGCGCAGCGCGCGCCGGGTGCGGCGCCGGAGGGGAGGGGCCCGGCGCTGGCCAGAGCATTCCGCGCGGAGCCGCTTCTTTCAAGGGGG